GCCGTCTCACTGGTCGAGAATGTCGTAGTGACCGCAGGGGTCGGTGACCTTAGTGATCCCTTCGAGCCAGCTAAGCACTTAGTTTGCAGTTCAGCGTGCCTCATGTGCCTCGAGCAGCAGGAGACACGGCTCAGGATGTGAGTCCAAGACACGGAGGTGCTGCGAGCCAAGAAACGCCGCATGGTCTGATACGAGCATAACCTCGGAAGTTCTCCAGGTCAACCATTCAGCCTAAAGAGGGCAATCTCAACGAAATACAGTGTCGAACTGCAGCAAAGCTCCAGGAAAGCTCTTTTCCCCACCTTTGCCCAAACTCTAACGGTGGCCGATGCCCACGGTCATGCTCCGAGACTATGCCTCAAGATGGGAAAGCATGGCGTTAGGGTCGGGGGCCCGCGTGGGGGAGTCCAGATGCGGATTGGTCGAAGCTGTGCTGAGACGATCGAACATTCCTCAACCCCAGCTTTTTGGTTTGCCTCGTCCCCGGATGAGATCATCCTGCGCATGCAGAGTTACCCCCACGTCGCTTTGTGCCGTTGCTGGGGCTGGTCCTACCCCAGGATTTGGGTGGAGTCGGTTGGGCAGGATGGCCCTTGCGACCGTGCCATCCTATACGAGTCTCCCCCCCCCTGTGGGTGGATTGTTTATATAGCGTTGGTTGGACCCTGGGGTCGGATCCATCTTTCTTCCCTACATCGCTTCGTCCCGAGCGGATTTCTCGTTGCTGCTGTGTTGTCGACTGAACCTCCCTCATCATGGACGACGGCAAGATCACCGACCATGAAGTGATGGGCGACAAAGCCGATATCACCCATGAGGAGGTGGTCCAGGTGTCCCAGTTGACGCCCGAGGAGCTGGAGATCGAGAAGAAACTGCGGCGGCGCATTGATAGTTTAATCATGCCGTTGGTCATTCTCGTGTATCTGATGAATTATATTGATCGGTAGGTGGAGCGAATCTTTGTGGAGCGCTACGGAGTGGAAATGAGTGGAGACTAACCCTGAGTGACAGGAATAACTACGCCGCCGCCAAATTGCAAGGTCTCATGGAAGACTTGAACATCAATGACCAACAATACCAGACCGGCCTGTCCATTCTCTTCGTCGGTTACATCCTAATGCAAGTCCCGTCGAATCTCCTTCTGAACTACATGGGCCGACCGTCGCTCTACCTCGGCTTCTTCACCACGGCCTGGGGCCTGGTGTCGACGGTGACCAGCCAAGTCACGAGCTACGGGGGCATTGTCGCCTGTCGGTTTATCCTAGGTCTGGTGGAGGCGCCGTTCTTCGCCGGCGTGCTGTTCTACCTCTCCAAGTGGTATACGAAGAAAGAGTTGGCCCTGCGCATGAGTATCTTCTACTCGGGCTCGCTGCTCAGCGGCGCCTTTGGTAACCTCATCGCCGCCGGCATCCTGAACGGTCTGCAGGGCCACCGGGGGATTTCCGCCTGGCAATGGTTATACATCATCGAGGGCGCCATCACCATGGCCGTGGGCTTGACCGTGGCGGTGTTACTGCCCGACTTCCCCGACACCTGGAAGCTGTTGTCGCCGGAGATGAAGCATGTGGCCAATCGCCGCCTCGCCATCGAGGCCGCGGAGGCGGACGTCGACGAAGCCGGCAAGATGAGCCAGGTCAAGGGTCTGAAGCTGGCCTTCACGGACATCAAGACCTACGCGCTCGCCCTCGCATACATGGCCATCACCGGCGCCAGCGGCTTCCAGAACTTCTTCCCGACGCTGACCAGGACGCTGAAATTCAACGAGACCATCTCGCTGCTGCTGGTGGCGCCGCCCTACATCTTCATGGTGGTGTACAGTCTCGCGCACTCCTACCTGTCGGACCGGTTCGGCCGCCGGTTCTGGTTCTTCGTCTACCCCATCCCCATCACGATCATCGGCTTCGTCGTCTTCATGACCACCGACGGCTTTGGGCCGCGCTACTTCTCCTTCTTCCTCATGATCTTTGTCTTCGCGCAGAACGGCACCGTCTACTCCTGGATCGCCAATTCCATCCCGCGCCCGCCGGCGAAACGCGCGGCCGCGTACGCCTTCATCAACTCGATCGGCAACTCGGCCAGTATCTGGACCCCGTATACCTACCGCGACACGGATTATCCTTACTACCGCCCGGCCATGGGGACGTGTATCGGCCTGCAGGTCTTGGGGCTGGCGATGGCGATCCTGATGTATTTCCACCTGCGGAGCTTGAACAAACGGCTGGACCGGTTGGAGGACGAGGAGGTGACGTTGACGCCGAAGGAACTCGAACGGTTACAGAAGACGGCGGAGATGGAGGGCATCGATATTGCGGCAGCGCGGCGGTTGCAAAAGGGGTTCCGATATATGATCTAATAATTGGAGTTGGGGTTTATGTGAAAGTGTACCCAGACATGTTCCTGTTCCCTAAGAATACAAATTTTCTGAGTTAATGAACCGTACATGAGTCGTGACGCGTATTAAGAAAAAGTACCATGATGTCAAAGCTGGTCGGGATAGAATAGGGTCACGGGCGACGCGCAGTGCGCAGTGCAATAAACACGTACTGAACCCGACGCTCATATGCCGTCATCCGACAGGGAAGAGCATGGCCCGATGTATGATTGCGACCATAAGATTGCGACCGTAAAAGCTGCATTGAATTCCGCCGTCCGAAGGCTCAATTTTGGAGGCTTCTATCTTATGGTATGTCGGTTGGCCCAATAATCGGGCTGCCGATCACAGCAAACAAACAAGAGCGATGTGGAACCTTCTCTGTTGCCAATCAAGGCATAGTTTCAGCAGACCCATTCTACATCATGTGGGGATATGAGCTGTTTGAATGAGAATCGTAGGACTCCATCCAGATTCACCCTTCGTTGATTTGATCGATCGGTCAAGCCGTGGGACCGACTGAGACGTGGTACTGTGTACAGAGTACTGCTGGACATACGCCACGGCTGTGGCGTATGTCGTAGTTGGTGTTCATTCACGAATAGGCAACCTGAGAGGCAGCATTCCCCCAGTAGCCGATGATATCATTGCACATGAAGGCATCCCTTGCGTGCTGTCTGAGAGGCCTTCTTTTGAGGGGTGGAGCAGAGCACTCCGATGATGCGGAGGAGGGAAAACCCGGGGAAACGATGATCGACTACCAGCGATGATTCGCCAGAGAGGCCACGGAAGACTCTGGTCCGTCCTTTCAGACACGCAGCTGCGGCGATCCCGATCCATGGCCAGGGCTTCATCCTGCGCCGGATTGGGCCACTCGCAGGGTCACGTGAGCTGTCGCAACGAACGGAGCATCGAGTATATAAACCCCCCCGTCCGGACATCTCGAAAGGGTATTGTATATCTGAAATCATTACCGTTCGATAGACCGTCCATACTATATTGTCTCTGTCTGGTTTAATTGAGTTCAGCCGACCTGTATCTGGATCGCTTCACTATGTCGTCCACCCTCATCCAAGCATCGCGCCCCCTCGCCCGTGCCCGCAGCCAGTCGAACACAATGCGCCCCTTCTCTATCGCCATTCCTGCCAGACTCGCCAACGAGGGGACGCACATGACCAAGCTGCGTGGGTTCCTAGCGGAGTACGTTCTGTCCCCTTTCTCCTGGCCCTAATCGAGGGTGGTTGACGTCGGGAATGACGTCAGTGACACCGGAAGACACATTCCTCAGCATGGAACGGAATGTTGGAAGTGCTGAATCCATGGTATGAACCAGAGACTAACCGAGTGGGCCGCAATAGGAAGGATACGACCCCTCGTCAAGAGAGTCCCTACGGCAAAAGGATGGAGTTTGACTCCTTCCGACGGGTGCAGCAGCAGATGTCGGAACACGGCCAACGTCTCGACCAGCTGGAAAAGACGATGTAAGGCTGTTTCTCGACAGTTTCCATGATACCCTATTTACTGACGCGATACTTCTAGTCAGCAGTTGACTCGCATGCAGGGCGTTTATTAAGACCTGCTAGAACGCTAGTCGTCCCAACTCAAAAACCTAGAGTTTTTATTACACCCAACATCCCTTTCACACGGCCATCCCCTAGATTGAGTCATGGAGGCTGTTATACCATCAAATGGTCCATCGGAGAAGATCTTCTCTCCAAGTGACCGCCCATTTACCCCCACCCGATTTGTCGAGCAGGACCTGATAGCGCGGAGGGGAATCATCTGGCATGAGAAATTGTATATACTACTGTGCACGTATTATGGAATGATATCAATGAGATTTTTTACTTGACTTGTTTGCTTAATCATGCAGTGAACAACAGGGGCTGCAAGTTACTGTCACTAATTGAGACAGTGATAACTATCTCATCCGCATACCTACATACTCCATGCGCAGAGAGTGTAACTGAGCTACTGAAAATGACCACTTTAGACAACTACCATTACCAGGAATGGCGACAAAAAATGGAAACAAAAAATAAGATCAACTGCGTCGTGCATCACGAAAGTCCGATTTGCAAACAAGCCACCGACGGTGAAAATAAAGTAGTCCCGAACCTGCATGTCTTCCGTACATGCGATTGACCACATGGCCATGGTCCAGGCTGTGCAAAACCTTCACGGTCCGATCCGCTGTCTCAAGCCTCCTGACCAGATCATAACTTTGTCGGAAGTCCAGAACGATGACTCACCAATGTCTCAAATGTAAGTACTACGCTCGTAAACAGTGGCGCCACGTTCTTCGACATGTCATCGCGTGGAGTTTCGGCTTCCAGCAGATGAAGGTGTGGTTATCCGTTGGGCTTGCTGCAGCCTTAAGAACCCCAATGGAATGTCTCGTCTGGAGAATTGTTCTAGAAGCTGTTTGTGCCTTGGAAGGATTAGTGTGGCTGAGCCGATTCGTGGAACTTATGACGGTGTGATGTATAGCCCTCGACCGAAGAGTAGCATGCCGCCGTTACAGTTTCTGGGGCGAGGCATATACATGGAACGATATTAGCATTAATATATATTACAATATCCCTGGATAAGGAAACAAGCGCTGTGACTGGTTTTTGTGGCCCTAGACATGGTTCGATCCGACTCTGAGACAAATCCTAAAACCGGAACATTTGAGGTATACCGAATCCATCTATCAGGCCAGCTACGAATGCGACATGCTACATATGTCTCACAGAGTCCCCATGGTGAACTAATACCATATTGTATCTCCAGTTCCTTATCCTTGTAATCCTTAGCGCCAACTTATCAGGCTTCGCACCATGCCTCGCATCTGGTTCATTTCGGCCGTTGACTATCACAACTGCATCAAACGGCGACAAGGTCGCGGTAACATCTCGCGACTCGTCCAAGTCGGACGACCTGAAGGAACACGGCATCATGCCCACCAAGCTCGAAGTTCGCTATGAAGTCGAAATCCAAGCCGTCGTCGGCAATGTCGAGTCCATCATCGGCCTGATTGACATCCTCGTCAACAACGTCGGGTATATCATCCAAGGTGTTATGAAGGAATGCAGGTAGCTCTACTCAGATACAGTTTTACCTACGAGTAGACCATTTGAACAGAAGAGAAGAGTCGGAGTATCAACACTTAAGTTATGGGTCTTTTTTAATGGGCCCCTGCTAAATAGAACAGCTGCTATTTCCAAAGTTACAACTCTCTGTCCGTCTCATATTCCGCGAAACGGCTTCGCTTCCTCAGTGTAGCCCCGAACCAAAATAAAGCAAAGATCCCAAAAACACATACCACCGTCAGCGCCCCGATCAGACTCGCACCTTTATCAATGCCAAGGTTAACATAGAGCGGGGTCGACCAAAGAATGGACGCAAAGGCGAGAACAGAGCGCGCAAAGTCGTTCATGGCGAAGAGACTCCCGGCGTATCTTCCATAGGAGACGGACATGTAGGCGAACATCGACTGGAGAAGAGTGGGCATGCCGACCATGAAAAGTAGGAAGCCTATGGTGGGTACAATCCAGTGGAACTCTGGGTTTGAAGTCCATGCGAATAGAAACATTCCCGCCGGAACAACCAGTGAGCCAAGAAGCCCCGGTATGAGTCTCTGTTCGGGCGAAGGCATTTTCCCGGCTTTGAATGGTCGGCTGATGGTAACATAAGTAATTGCTAGGTAGAATGGTGTGGTAATCAACACGGCTACTATAGCAGTGAGAAATATGGCTCCGGTTTGTAATAAGCTCATCGCGTATACACCTTGGTATACCAGGGGCACCGCTTCGAAGAAGGAATAGAAGATGGCATACACCAATGCGGTGTAGAGTGTAGTAAACAAGATCGCTGGATCGAAGGCGTTTATCTTCCATGGAATGATGAGAAAGTCGTACCATGTCTCTTGGGACAACTCCGCATGGTTTATCTCGGAACTGGATTTGAACGCGTCATTGCCAGTCAAAACCTGTAGCCGCCTGGCGCGTTGATATAAAATAGCCGGGCTTGATGTCTCTGGCAGAAATATCTAATGGATGTTAAATCGGAATCATTGTATAAGCTCACCAAGTATGGCGGAGAAGACAATAAACGAACCAGAAGCAAGAAGCATGGTGCGGCAAACCAAACGATCAACCACATGCTCCACTGCCACCCTTTTGACGTGACACATAAACTGGCTAACGTTGGAGCTACGGTAGGAGCAGACACTGCACATACACCCCAGATCCATAAACCGCTAGGTAGGTTAATAAGATTTGTGATGTCTGCGAAGGACGCCGGGCCCGTTGCCAGACATGGCGACCCGAAGAAGCCTTGGGCAAAGCGTAGAAAGAGAAAACCAGGGACGTTGTTGACAACGGCCGCGAGTACACTGACTATTAAAAACACTGTAAACGAAATCACGTAGGGTGGGTTGCGGCCTATCGACGGCTTGTCTGATAAGGGGCCAAAGAGCAAGGGTCCTATCCCATAACCGAGAAGAACCAGGGCCATTCCAAGTGAGCCTACCGATGAGGGCACGCCGTACTCGGCCTGGAATTCCACTTCTGCCGGGGTGAATGCGGCGGATGACATGTAGACGACGAAAGTGTAAAAGTTGATCTGAATATACACCATTATCTTGGCCCAGCGAGGCCAATTGTACGGATTTCCCGGGTCGTCATCGGAATACCAACCCACAAGTATCGTACCATCAGTAGTCATGTCCGGAACGAGCCATTTGGAAGGATGTTCCTGATCAGAAGATTCACATTCTGCGTCACACGTGTCAGATTCCACGTTTCCGCCGACCCTGGAGGTATGAGATTCAGTTTCTTGCTTCTTATACTTCTGCGACAAGTATGTGGGAATCAAGCTAAAAGAAAAACTGACCTGGCGGCTGTTGAATACGGTGGAGACAAACAAAAGCCAGGCTTCTCCTCTGGGAATTCCAACAACTGGCCACCAGAAAGCCAATGAATGAATTTTCCTAAAGAAGAACTGCAGAGTATGCCCGCCATGATGCGAATTTTACATTAGCTGTGTTTTCTGCCGATGTTCTGTGCTCAACCCAGTAGTTGGGCTTGATGGCAGTAAGAAAGCGTTCAAAAAGTTAGTCTGAGACGAGAGACTAGCCATCAAGCGGATGCAAACCAGTAGATGAAGGGAACGAGCGAGATCTTGATCGAGACCTCCATTTATTATATTATGGTACTGATACTTGTTGGGCCACTTTATCTGCCCCACTCCCATATGCTTGCTTTTAATCTCCGGAACAAAAGTACTTACCTTTCCTCCAATAGCACGCTCTAATATGCATGATGCCTGATACTTCGTCTCTTTCTGGAAATGAGTAGCTATCGAAGAGTGGTATCCACAGGCTATAGTTTCACATGGCCCAAAATTCCACCATTTCAGCATGATCCCTTTTAACGCTATTGAATATTATTCGCATGTGTTTTGAGCTTATCTTGAATAAAGACCGCTGTGACAATGGGGCACGGTGCAAAAATATCGGAATTAAACAAAAACGTGCACTGCAGTGTAAATCTCGTAATATTGATCTGCTGTCTTGGCCAGTTTCGAGGGCAGCCTGATAATCAGGGAGAAATCTTGACCGAGCCTTGGGGCTGAATTAGGGCATCACCCATTCAGACAAGCCGCATGAATACTCTCAGCTCATTTCGGCGCTTGCTCCAAAAGAAAGCGATCTTCATCTTGAGAATGCACGAGCATACATAGTTAACCAATAAGTGACCCACTCGCCCGCATTAGCATGGTATGTGACAAAGAATTGGCCAGTCGTACGGAGTAGATCCCATCCATCCACGCGGCGGAATCACAGGAGAAGCGCTAGTAGCGATCCAACGTCCGGGATGGTCCCTGCTGCCCGTGGGATCTAGCCCTGCAATGTAAGATCGATGAGTGATTTTCATCAGAACCCAAGGAACTATTGCTGTGCCACCTGCACAACCCCTTGCACTCGACCCAGCTATTAATTGCCAAGACCTGTGGCGTCTGCATTTTTCCCTGGCGGAGAGAAACACTCACGACCCTATTACAGAGTTCGTTCGTTGCATTGAATTTCCTACGGCGGTCTGGATCATTTCACGCAGAGACTCTCGGTGAGTGGGAAGGAAGGTGTGCTGGAGAGATCAATAGCTCGAATTGACTAGTGGGTAGAACTATGCAATCAAATCCAATTGCGTCCGCCGCAATATGCAAGGATCAACGGCCGCCACAAGATCTTTGAACTCACCTGATAAGTCTGTTGAGCATGCATGCGGGTTGCTAGTGTTGAATATAGCAGCACAAGATCTGACGTGTCCCAATGTTCAAGGCCTGTTCTATCGTGCTGTGTATTTTCATTTTAAGGTGTGTATCATGAGTCTCCGGATTGTTTTCAGCGCTGAGCGGTGGGATTGAAAGGACGACCATACGGTCCTGTATCACCGATTATAATATTGAAAGAGATTCCTCTTTAAATATTTGAATTGCTTGGGTTATATACAAAATATTGGAGTCTATTCTCCTCCTAAATAGTGTAATCTTAGTATATATTTACCAGTTTGAATGCTCTCTAAACCATTTGTCCCACGTCCAACAATACGATAATATTCCGTTGACAAACATCTGTCTTGTTCGAACCTCTTATAGTCTCAGTGACAGCCCTACAATCGTATATGATATCAACGAGGGGAATTTGATTCTTCCTGAAAGGTCTATACTCGCCCTGTTGCCGGGAGCAAAGGGTATATCGCTATCAGCATGTCACCTTGCCAACCTCCGTTAATATAACCGATCGTGGTCTTTTAGCAACCTTTCCAGGCTGGATACTGTGCACAAAGAAATATTGCCGCTGGGGTCAAGCGATAAGTACCCATGCCACTTTGACCCATGGAAGTCGAAAATCTATAGCAGTGAAAGAAGACAAATTCAAATTTTGACTAGAAAATTTAACTAGCAACGAGGAGGAAAACGAGATCTTTATGTATAGGATATCTGATAAAAAGTATCTTCACTACCAGCAAAAGCACTCATCAAGAAAAAAGAAAAAAGTGGTGCCATGCACTGCGGCGCAGTGAAGTTGCACAAGTGTGACTTCGTTGGCAATGCAACAATTAGGGTCCAGCGTGCTGGGCCTGAGAGATGACGGTGGAATCCCTGTAGATTCTGCCATTCTGTAACATACCCGTCTATCTGTGGGATCCTCAGGTCATGCAGAGCCACATTTATCACTGAGTAGACGGCTTAAAGAAAACCGATGTCATGACAAGCACTTTCTCACGACTCTGAAGATATTTGATGAGATCTTGGTAATAGCAAGACTTGAGCATACTTTCATTCTGTTATCTGCACAATTAAAATCACTGGTCAAGTATGTACTTTTGTCCGGGCACCGAGGGCAATGCAGTCGATTTGCCGTTTCTGCTAAGCATGCATATCTCTCTACTGTGAGCCGTTTTCTTTTCCCTTTCCCCTCGAGACATACACTAATGCATTGTAACGTACAGGGGACTCTTAATTTCCGAGTAAAGTCTTAAGGGAGCTTACGCTATTACTAGCTGGAAGCCACAGTGAAGATCTCTTTTCTTGAAGAAAAAAACTAGCAAAGATGAGCCTGGAATGTCTTCACCTCGGCTATCGTCCGAAAGTTTACTTGTTACTGCAGCGTGATACTACCGGGTAAGACTCATCTGACGCATTAGGATGTTCTTCAGCTGCAGATATGCATACAACAGGGTCACAGCTGCAATGGTGAATGGCTGGGTTTTAGTTCGATCCATAGCCTCAAACTAAGCGAACCGGGCTAAAGATAGGATCAAAACCGTCCCAATCATTCGGGTAACAGTCGGTGGTCGGAGGTGTAGAGGAGACCGGGACAACTATCAGGTATCATGACATGAAGCCGGAGAACTGATGTACTTCCAGGGATGTTCGGCGCGTTTTGGTCATACCTTAATGAGCCTGCTCGGTATTATTGGTGGAAGGACCAGAGTAAAGTGGAGATGCCGATCAGGCCTGCAGAGAAACGGAGACCAGATCCTGCCGAGTCCAGTAGCGTCCGGCGCTCGTCGGAGAGACTCCTCTCCCCACGCGGGGGAAACGTCTAACCGACAGCCCTATCTCAACTGCCGGAGATTGTTGGCACCCCTGGACAGGAGGGATATTGAGCCGCTTGCACAATCGGTATGGGTTACCAGTCAAGCCGGTCGATCGTCCGGAATGCTTGGCAGGAACCAGTCTCGGAGGAAATTGGACATGACCCGGACTTGGCTTGCCTTGTCCATATACTGCTGGGTTCAGCAGTTGTATGTCGAGGATTTGGGATCAACTACACTCAACGGGCAAATCCATCGTTGTCCGCATTCCACCGGTTCATCCGTATGCCATTTTTACACTCATCGGACCTTATTTGCGTAGGTGCACGAATCGGATAGTACCGTCTAGATAGTAATCTCCAGCCTAGCTAAGGCGGCCATTCCGTTCGAATCACATCACTGTCGACTATCAACCTCAAGTGTCTAGTCACAGATACCATCATCTGAACTAACCCGTCATGGTTGGTACCATGTGTGGATCAACAGTTCCGGTACATCCCACTATGACCCGTACCACAGGAAGGCGAAATTAATTAGTTCTGGCTCAATGCGTCAGGTACAGCCGTATGCAACCAATCGACGAGGGGCTCATTTGTATGCCAAAATCTCAAGGCTGTCGATCAACTTGTACCAAGAAACAGCCTATTCCTTCTAGAGAGCTTGGACTTGGTGACCGCATTGGTTTAATCGTGTCCAGTATGTGGATCGCGTACATGGGTCTGTTTTAGCTACATAATTCCGGCACCATATGGTCCTGTCAATCGACCACATGGAGATGTCGATAACCTTCGTCAGGCACACAGAGATGGGCGGCTCAAGCCGATATACACTAGACTCATATCAACAGAACCCGGGAAGTCCTAAGACGACTAGGCCACTCTCTTGTTGATCTTTTACTTGTGTCTGCATGGACCCTGGACCCTCTACGGAAGTTCTCCGGTTCTACCCTGTAGGGTACTAGAGCAATCGAACAGCATTCTCCATATGGCAAACAGGCCAGACCACCTGAGGCTCAACTGAAGCAGGATCCACTTGATTTGGACATGCTAAGCGGGCTGTCTTTCTTCATGTGTCACGGAATCTCGTGGATTGCGACTTCGTTTACTGTATTATGCAACATAAGCTTCGCCTTCCTCGGCCGGATGTATTGTGTTTCAGGCTTGGTATCGTCAAGTAATGGCGGATTAAAGGATCAGACTAAGAGAAGGTGGATCGCCAGTGTCATCCAGCCAATGTCTAGACAGAGTTGTGAGGAATCAGCTGCAGTAAGTTCTGTGGGCGGCAGCCAAAAAAATGCTTGTGGAGGCTTCTGGGGACTGCCATTCCGGATACTTTCTTGTCAGAACAATTATCGCAACTATCTGGCAAAAGCAGTCTGGGAGATAGGCGTTGCAGCCGCATCACTACGCTGCTCTGCGGGTCTTTCCTATACCCGGCAGACAGATCACGGCAGAACGGCATGTAGAGTAACGGTTGCACCCTGGTAACTCGTGGCCGACCCGATGGTCAGTCACCCCAGTAGTTTTCTAGATGCATGGGAGCTATAATAGGGACATCTGATTGGTGTGCTGTATGGCGTAGGGCCCTAACTCGGAGTTGCGCAGATGTCCATTCTCTTCCGTCACTAATGCCGCCGCCGAGCCACGCGAGTAGGCTCAAGCTTATCGGCGCACGCCAGAGTGGGCCACAAGGTCCAGAAGGATGCGGGAGAAATAATTTCTGTTGTCTGTCGGTTCCCATTCGCTGAATTGCATGATTCCTGCTGGTTCTATATTAAAATCTTGCCATTTTCCTTTTTTGGTCGTTTTAGCAGCTACTTCGAAATACACATCGCCCCCGTGGGTGGGTACGAATTAACACTCCAATACGAGACGCTACCAAAAGTATTGGATTTAGTCCCTGGTACTTTTTTAATGCAGTCAGCAATTAAACAAATGCATACACAATTGCCCTTCAATTAGAATATAAACCGAAGCCTGTCTGCGATTACTCCGGGTGCATTGTATCTGGAAATCACCAACTATCAACACATAGTCAGACTGCGAGTGAAAATAGTCTGTGGACACTGTGAACGAAATAAAACCAACCCAGCTCTCGTTCTTCATTCTTATCTATCCTTTTTATAATTTTGCATAGTACGGTATCACTTCCACGTGGAAGTTTGTTCACCGCAACATGCCTCGTGCCCCACAGAAATGGACTCCAGAGGAGGACAAGCTCCTCTGCCGAGAAGTGCACAGCCAATGTAAGTCGAATCGCACAAGTGTTCCGGACATACTGGGTCTAACTCTGTGTTGTGTGCCAGTATCCGAAGGCCGAGTAAGAGACTGGCGATCAATAGCAGACAAGATTCCGGGCCGAACGAATAAAGATTGTCGCAAACGGTGGCACAATGTGCTTTCCGGTGGGTTGAACAAGGGATACTGGACGGAGGAAGAAGACAAGCTGTTGACACATGCGGTGCAAATGCATGGAGAGACGTGAGGATCCTCTGTCACTCGTCGGAGAAAGAACCATACACTGACCGGATACCGCGACAGATGGACGGTGGTTGCAGATGTCGTCAAAACACGAAGCGCAGATCGTATGTTCCTTTGGATCTTCCTTATTTCCGTGGCGTAATACTAATCGAAGTTGTGTTCAGAATGTGCCAAGCGATGGAAGCAATGTCTCGACCCGCAACTAGACCGCAGTGAATGGACAGAACTCGAGGTAGGTTTGCCGCTCCATGGAGGATCGATGAGTACGAGGCTAATATGAGCGACGATAGAATCGACGATTGATGGAGGCATGTGCGGTCAAGGGACGACGATGGAAGGAAATCCAGATGGAGCATTTCCCTACCCGGTCACGAAACTCGATCAAGAATCAGTAAGCATAAGCCTCGGAGGAGGAATGAAGTGCAGGACTTGACGCTAACGAAATCGTACCACGATCAGACACACAATCCTTACCCGCCGATACAACAAACTGAAGAACTTGCGAGAAGCCCAGCATACCGCCAGCACGGGGACTGGGCCCGAGGACTCGAGCTTGTCACCGAGCTCATGCGAGGACTCGGGAGACACTGTTGACAGTAGTGACGATGATAGTGGCCTTGGAAGCGGAAGCACAGGAGGAAGCAGCGGGCTACATGATCCTCACATTGCCGATGATGATGTGCCAATGAACATAAATCCCACAGAAGTCTTGCCATCGACGACTCAAGGGATACCGGGACATAATCCTTTTATGCACGGGCCAACCTGGGACATGGCCGGCACGTTATCGGGAGATCCATGGGGATTGCCTTCAGTAGGGGACACGGATAGTATGGGATTATTCCTCAGTGGTATGGTGCCGGAGCTTCACAGCATCCCACCGGACAGCCTGCATGGTTTCAGCTTTGCGGATGCCACTAGCGGCAAAGACTGCATTTGCCCCAGTTTGTTATCGCCAACCGAAGAGCTCCCTAGTGAGTACGGCCAAGTAGACAATTTTGGCGACGATCTGAGCGTATCGGCAATGGACACAGAGGAGCAGACGCTCGCATCTTTACAGGAAAACGTGGCTCGTGGGAAACGGTGTGCAAAAATAGTGCTGACGGTGGAGGAGCCCGATAATAATACGGTTGAGTCCCTGGTGCAAATTGCATTCTCCAGCAAATCACGGTTCCACTTCGCCCGTGAGTGAAAAGATTGGACCAGTTGGGAGTTCGAGGTTTGTGGTCTTTTAGTTGCTATCACGGTGGCTTTATTTGGTGTTGATATCAGGGAGTTATGGCGTTTCTTTACGTGATATGTATGAGATGAGATATGCGATGGATGAGTTCAGCAGATAACATCCAACATCTGCTCGTTACTCAGTCCTAACTGTACCTTACAGGAACTTCTACGGATGGTTTCTTTTTACGATAGATTAGTGCTTTGGAGCGTTTGGCGAATCTTCGGAGCTTTGTGATTCATATGGCATAGTAAAGGGGGCCATTGAACCAAATCTTCAAGTTTGGTCTGCCTTTGCCATAAATAGACAACTACTGTCGTGTTATCAATGATGCTACATGCCTTTCTTCTTCTAAGCTGCGACTTGTACTTGCTTCACGGTTTAAAGCTGTCTCTAGGGTTGAAAGATATATATGCTGTAAGCGTCTGACGCTCCATTTTCCGAGGTGGAAACGCCTCCTGGTAGACAGAGACTTGGGCCGGACTCACGTACGGCCCCGACAAGATCATAGGGCAAGTGTGATTTTGGGGCTGTCTGGTTCTAATTCTATTCTTTTTGTACACTTTTTGCATTTGGCCTCTGGCGATAGAGTTGCCAAAGTCCTCTGGGCTCTGTATACTCGTGATTCCATTTACCAAGTGCCTGTTCGGTGTTATTGGGACCTCGAGCCCGATGAGTGATTATACAGTAAAATGTGTTAAACGACAACTTTATATGGCAGGACCGGGCGTGCTATTGGCCTGAGAACGTGAGATGAGGTCGGGCTATTAGGGCCGACCCACTGTCTACTCCATATACGTAAAAAATCTTACAAAAAAAGAAATTTCGAATGCTCCCACGCGGATTTGAACCGCGGACCTCATGATTACTAGTCATGCGCTCTACCAACTGAGCCATAGGAGCTGCGATGAAATATAAAATGGCTTATTAGTGTAGACAGACCTTAACTAGCCAAGCATAGACAATTAACCAGCCATCTTCCTCCATGAATCTCCATCACAGGTAACTAACACAGCCATTCAAGCGTCGCAAGTCCCAACACCATACCAATCACGGTCTTCGCCATGTCGCTACCGGTAACGGACAGTCTCAATGATGCATTCGGCGTGGGCGTGCTTGTTTCACTCGCGCTTGTGGTGGTGGCAGCTGTATCCGACGTGGTGGTCGCCGACGCCGTGGGCGCATCGCTGGATTCGCTGCTGGCAGTGGAGGACGATTGAGCTCGCGTTGTCGAAGTCACAGTAGTATTCGCAGCAGTCGTGGTCGAATTCGATCCGCCCGAGATTCTCTTAACTTGGAAGCCATGGATGTCTACCGACGACGCTTTTGAAAAACGCTCGGTCGCCTGTCCCACAGCCTTGCCCGAACAGTCGTCGGTGCCGTATAATAACATATTTATATTCTTTTCGCCCTGCGCATCGATGGCGAATACCTTTCCCTTTTCATGATTGACTGTGATGCACTCAGAGGCCCATGGCCGGTTTCCAAGTGCGAAGTGTTGTTGGAGTCTCTCCAGGTGAACTCCCACGCACCAGTGGAAGGAAGAACGGCCAGTACGGAGACCGACAGAGGGAGTAGTGCTGACCACTTCATGTTGACGCGCTTCCACTGGTTGACAGAATAAACCGGTGTATAAGTAGGGTTGCAAGAAGAGCGGGAAATGAGGAAGAGAGCTGTCGGGATGGAAGCGTCGCTCCTTGGCTTATAAGTCCTCGACAATCTCGACCTTGTTTGCGAAATGGCCCCCCCAAGCACGGATGGTGAACTGCAGATCCTCGTATTCAATTTGCCGCACAACCAGTCAGGACCAACGCTGATCATCTAGTTTTCTTGGCGCAGGGCCTTAGCTCTTCATAGATACGAGTTGCCAGGAACAAGATGGTCGGAGAACCAATGTCAGGGGAATAGCGGCGTAACTGATGGGTTACATTGCGTTAGTCAGTCCTTCTCTGACAGGCATCCTGACGGTGCGCTTATACACGCCTGTCCCAACTCGCCCCAAGCTGCGTTGATTAATTGGGCTTGCGAAGTGCAGCATTACCTTCTTCCCATGCTCGAACTTGAATCACTGAGGACTTTAGTCTACATGTCTCCTCTATATCATCAGCAGTATCTGTTAGATCGCAGGTGCCTACTCTGCAGAAGCTTGGAAGCAACGGTGTGCAGCTCTCTACTTCTCGGCCGTCAAACCACTCATGCAGCACTATACTAGCTGGGCTCTGGACGATCTTGCCGCAGAGACCAAGGATCCACAGAGTAGCGAGCTTTTAAGCAAAATAGAAGAGGAATGTCCAATACGTGCCCTTTATCGGTTCCAGCTCTGTTGTAACTTGTCCGGGGTGGATTGCCACAAATTTATTCAGAAACAGAGACTGAGCCTCGGCTCTGGGGAGATCGGGGTGACATTCTTATGCTTATTCGAGCCTAGAGAGGTCGAAGAGATCTCCTGTATCTATACCTTCGCCAAGGAAAGATATAACCAGATATTCAACGACATCTGTTGGGATATCCGTGAAGAGAACCCGAACCTTGAAGGACAACGGCCGCGCACCCCTGAAGGAGCATTTGAGCTAGATAGCAGCGGTTAGTTCCAGTCCTGCTCTATTCCCCTGCGTTCACCTATCACGGATGCCCCTTTAAGGTTTGAATGTAACTGTTAAAAAAAACCAAAACAAAAGGATCACAGATGGTCTCATGAAAGACAATCTCTTGTGATCTTGAACTTGTTCCATATTTTCAGCGTTAAGAAAAGGAGCCATACACATCTAGTCACGACGATGCAACAGCACATTTTGTGGCCAGCGGGTAGTCTCCTCGAGAAGGAAGCCCTAAGCGAGTCAACACAGTCGCTGCGACGCCAGAACGTTAGGGGTTCCCCTCGAATCGGGTCTTGGGAGAGACGATGCCTGTCCAAGGGGAGTAAGTACCTGATACAAACGGAACACGTCCCCCTCTGGCTTGGACCCTGATATGGAGGGCATCCCACAGTAAACCATACGGATGCTATGTGCATGATCCATCCGCTGCTAAGTAGGATACGACGCGATTCAATCGCACCGGTAGAAAAGGGTTTTTCGCACGACAGCGGGAGGCGAATTGGGGGACAGTAATGCAAGAGATAATCTGTTGTAGTCGTGTGATACAGTTAGAGAATGGCTGGTTGGATGTTATCCTTAGAGTTTGCTTAATCCTTCTGGAACAGAGACCTAACGGATTCTCCAACATGGTTGTTTCTCGGACAATA